GCGACATCAGCGCTGTTTTACAGCTTTACAGGTTCAAGCAGAACGATGCGCAACTAAATGGCACTCGATTATGACAACTGGGTTAGGGAAAACGTTTATTTAATGAAAACAATGATAACATTGAATTTAAAATTGAAAAAGTATTTATTTCAGCAGATTTGTAGAGTCATGATGTATTTGGATTATAATTTCATCTGTAAATGATAAAGTTTTGAGCGTTCAAAACCTAACACCTTTTCGTGACGGTCGCTGTTAGAGATTTTCGTAGTCTACGTCAAAAAAAGAAAGTTAGTCAACTTGACCTAGTCTCTAAGTTACTTTCGACGGGCGTGCATGGGAATTCTGAACGGAATTTTGAGAGGAATTTACGTTAGATTCAAGCAAATTCTACATAAGAATTCGAAGACAATTTGCTATTACTATTGAGAATACGAAAATAGTTGTAGATGGAACTACAAGAGTAACTTAGAGGTATTTTGTTAACTGATATGCAGAGAAACTCTATACTGCATTGAATTCTATTTTAACGCGATTTTGTTTCGTTTTGTGCGTATTTTTGATCGTGTGAACTCAAATTTAAACCTTACCAAATTTGATGCAACTTGTTCCAAAAAATCAAAAAAGATCAAGCAAAATAACAAAGGAAGTTTAAATATCTGTACTCATCTTGATTCGCATATTTTTTTTCCTTTTCCAGCTTTGGTTCAAATAGCTAAATCTATTGATTTAGACTGAATACTTTCAGCCCATCGATAGTGGAATAGCGTAGGATCCACATTGTAAAGATTCCCTATTTTCAGCTTTTCTACAGGCTGGAGTTGTTGTTTGAACTATTTAGTTTATCAATTCAATTTATCTGTATAACAATTATTCCCAAGCATTCTTCCAGGTTAATTCAAGAATAGTTTGATGATGATAAATCTTCCTAATATTCACATTATAGGTAGGACCCGATCCTGTCAGCCTCTCCGCGCATCAGACTGTTATTTTTCAGTAACTCCACATAATTGTGATTTCATATTTTCCTCCTTCAAGATGGATGATACTTTGCTAGCTGACAAAATGAGGTCATTGCTGTATAATTATTCTCTTTTTTCAGCCTTTATTCAGACTGGATCTATTGATTTAAATTATTTAAGTTTTCTTCCAGCTCTTCGATAACGGAACATCATTAGATTTATACTGTAATGATTCACTCTTACAGCTTTCACCCTGGTTTTGTCTGTTGATTTGATTTGTTTGAATTGATTTTCAGCTCTTTGGTGTTGCCAGTCGCGGGCGGTCAATTTTGCTCATGCTCATGCTCTAAGTTTTTTTTTCAGCTTTTCGATGATGGAACGTCTTCAGATTTATGTTGTAATGATCCAACATTTTGTTTAGGCTTCAGGCAAATTCAAGTATGATTGCACTGATTCATTTAAAACCATGGTCGCATCACTTATCAAGATGTATCCAGATCCAACGAACCCAACTTACTAACAAAATCTCCTTTCCTGTGTCTTTTGTTGGGGTGCAGAGGTAAACACGGCCCACAAACAACAAAGGTAACTCAAATATTCCTTCCCTACTCCCACCTGATTGCAAGGACGTGGCCGGCGCCGTTATTGATCTACAAAATATAGAGTCACTGAAACTTGTACAATGAGAATGGACGGTCACTCCCAGCCCCATTCAGTTGATTCATTGTACAATTTCACTGATTCTGATCAATCACGGAGTAGCAACAGTCAGTCTAAGCTAAGCAGTAGTGCAGTCAGTCTAAGCTAAGCTAAGCTAATAAATATATCAATAGAATTCTGCCAATAATACTTATGTAAATTTGGGGTTAATTAAAAAAGGAATGCACGTTCGAAATCAAAAGAAATGCTGAAAAGGATTCCTAACAAGTTCTGGGTTATATTCTGAGGGACCATAATTCCAAGAGAATTTTGATATAATATAATAGATTCTGGGAAAGATTGTATTTGAATCTCAGACTTCTCAGAATTTTAAGAAAGATTCCAATGTTGTTCTAATGAGAGTTTCAATGGAATCCTTCGTGGAATCCTGAAGATAATTCTAAGCTTATCAAGAGGAGAGTTCCAATCGAATTTTCTGGGTAGGTTAAACGAAAATTCGAGTGCAAAACTTTCTTTAAACTGTTTGCATAATTTATGAACAGCCCCTTTATGATTAAACAGAGAGACTTTTAACTGACAGAACCCCAAGAGTAAAGGTGCAAAGTGCGGGTGGCGATGCTGTGAAACAACACACCTGTCCTGTTGCCGAGAAGCATGCTTTCTAACAGCATCGCAATGAACTTTGCAACCTTGGGGTTGGAACTACTGGTGGAAGATCATAAACTCGCACATATTGATTATAATTCTTCGCATGTGACATACAGTGTATCGCAAAATTGAGCGTACACCCTAGTAGAACATTTTTTGAAACATTGTGATAAACAGATGTTTATTGATTTATCGCTTTAGTTTTGGACTTTATTAGGAGAACCTGTATAAAGTTAGATTTATTGTAGTAAATCGGTCGATTTTCAGCTTTTTACCTAGTGGACGTAATTTTAGTAAAATAAGTGAAATATGAATAATCTTTATTATGACTAAAAATGGGCAAAATTAAAAAAAAAAAACGTTTAGTTCATTGTATTTCAAAATATTATGGTTCTTTCAAGGAAAAGGCATTTTTCTCAAATATCTCTTACTTCTAATAAAAGCAACCAAATAAGCCCAACACTGTACCAATAATTGATAAATTAGAGACGAACCAGCCTACGGCTGAAAGTCTCTTTAATAAAGAAATCAAATCAAATCAAAAATTGATAAATTAATGATGATTCAACAGCCACAAATTCAGAAACGTATCTCTTTAAATTGTAATTTTAAAGCTGTTTTACTAAAATTTAAGGACATCTGTACGCTTATTTTTGAGATACACTGTACGTACATCGACTGCCTTTCCATTCGCATAATGGAAATCAAATCTTCCGTACTAAACGACAATGTATGGAACATCGATTCTTCAGATTTAAACGTTATGAAAAGGGATTTCTCTTCAGCTATCCTTTATGTCGCATCCCTTAATACGGGATTCGCATCCAGTGCTTTCACGAAATTAGCATGGTGGGTTTCGCACTTCCATGCCTGAAGAAAAACTTGACGCTATTCTATTCTTAATTTCAACGCCACTCATTATCAAACTGGCAACGACAAAAGCGATCGAGTTGCAGGCAAGAACAACAGCGCTCCGAACAATCACTTGATTGAGTAATAAATCTGTTGATAGCGATCGAAACCGAGAGATACAGCTGCTGCTGCCTCTACAGCTGAAAGCGAACTGGTTTATCTTTATTGATAGTGAATTTCGGCCTGGTTCGAAGGGGGATCCCCCTATGCGCTAGCTTGCAGCTAAAAGGGCCCGTTCAAATATTACGTAACGCAACAATATAATTTTTACAAATTTTTTCACTTAGATGTTACATGAAAACATACATAGATTTGTTCCATCTAGTTTTCACGTAAATTTTATGTTTTCATATGTAGATCGGTTTGAAAGTTCTAATTTCAATCCACATACAACTCTAATAGGTAGTATAGGCTTTCAATTTCAATCCACATACAACTCTAATAGGTAGTATAGGCTTTGGAAGTAAATTTCACTTTATTTTCATGTCTAAGTGAAAATTAATCAAAGTGAAACAGATCTTTGCCCAATCCACTAGAAAGCAACATAGACTTATGGTAGTTTCTAAGTAAATCTTATTATGTTTTCACTTAAATTTTAGTAAATTTCTTCGTAGCATGATCCATTGTTATTTATTTTAAAATTATTTTTTTAAATAATAAAAATTTTACTGTTCAGAAAGCTGATCATATGCCTTATGTATTCCAGTAACCTCCGGCCAGCTACACTTCCTCTGCCAATCTTTCGGGTGAGATCATTCCTCGTCCGTCGATTCCTCGTTCTATAAACATACCATAAATAAATGGTGTATCATGCCAAAAGAAAAACATCATACTTATCAGAAAATTCAACAAATCCGATGGTATTTGTGAATCCAGCAACAACTCGTCAGCAATGCACCGTTCGGACGCCATGTTAGGTTTTGTTTGTGCCATCACCACTCAGAAATTTTCACACTATTAATTCATGTAGAATCGAAGTGAAATTATCTTACATGAAATTCACTTGAAACTTATATATAAGGCATAACATTTGATAATGGCACAAAAGCATTCGTAAACAAACATTCAAAGGCCCTTTACACGCGAACCAAAGTACGCCCACGCAAACCAATACCACTTTCGGAAAGGTGATAGTTGCCCCTATCCGATGATGTTGTTGGGCGTACTTTGGTTCGCGTGTAAAGAGCCTTAGAAAGTTTGTTTACTAATGCTTTTGTGCCATTATCAAATGTTATGCCTGATATATTCATCTAAGTTTCAAAGCTTTTTTCAAAGTGTTTTTTCCAGTGAAATTTATGTGACATTTTTTTTTTTGAGAGTAGAGTTCCACTTACATCTCTACCGAATCATGAATACAGCTTATTTGACACTTTTTCAAGCTCATCCCTTAGTATAAAAAAAATATTGTCTAGTCTCAAATTGCGAGATATTTCTGCTTTAAAAAAATAAACTACTAGAATTTTAAAATAAACGTGTTCAATTAATTTTTAACGATCTCTAGAATCGTTTTTTTTCCACATCAAATGACAGATCTCATCCAAAGCTTTTTTCCCAACCAACGACAACAAACTAATGCTCCCGAACGTCACATTTCCTGTTTGGGTGTGAAGAAGAGAGCAATATTATGTAACAATCTCCCATTCGAAGATAAAAATAAATCTCGGTCTTCGTTAAAAGATCCGAATGCCCGCATCCCATTTCGACACCGACCGAAAACAAAATCAACACGAACAGATAAGAGATAAAAATTAACGTCATTCAAACGTTAGTTCGCATAATATTATATCCTTGAACCTTCCCCGTATCGGACAGCAGACCTACCTTCAGTACAACCAAATTGCCGTCCCGAGCTCCGTTGAAAACGTTCTCTTTGTTATCCATCGCTGTTGCGAGCATCGATAAACTGAACACACAATATTCTTCCCCTTTTGAATCCACACAATATACGCTGCACACACACACACTCACAAGACGCACGATCTATAAAACTGGCCCCAAATTTGATTCTAGATTTTTCTCTTTCGCACTTGGTTGTACAACTCTTTCTGCTTCTCTAGAAACACTCTTTTAATTTCGGTTTGGGTGTTTTATTTTTAGCTCTTCCTTCCTGAATCGGCACTCTTTCTTCTATTGTTTTCTTCACAGTTTCACAAAATTCTACGTTTCGATCACTTTGTAGCTTTGCACCTTTATTTTTCTTTGTTACATTATACACTTTCTCTATGGCATTCTTCTTAGTTCTGCGCCCTTTCTGTCGTTCATCCCAGGCGTGGCAGAAGACGGAAACAAACACAAAAATCACCTATTTCGGATTTTGTACCAATTCTTGTGCACACTCTGATACAGGATCAAACAGATGGTCTCGGCTGTGGGTCGATTATTTTCCTTAAACTTTTACTCCGATTTGCGGGTCAAGTTCTTCAGCGCAAAGTTCACACCGTTCCGGAAGTGCACCAAAAATTTACTCTCCAAATTTGTGCGAGAGTAACTATTTTACGTGTAATCCTTCGAAAGGATCCAAGCAATCCTCTTCTGGGGGGGTACTTCTTTCCCGATTCAAATAGATGAGGGGCCTCCTTTGATTGCCCTTCGATGCACGCGCGAATCACGAACTACTAATTTTGCGAACAACAAATCCAATTGAATGCTAACTGCTAGATTTAGACTTTTTGTTCTTGGATTCTGGTTCAAAGAATCGCGCTGACTCTATTTTGCTATTAATGCACACGGGGAAAGCGAAACCCTTCTGGGGTGACTTTGTTTCGGTTTTCTCACTGCGAACCTAACGAATGCGAGCGAGCAACTGAGCGACCCAGCTGGTAACGGACTGCCAACAAGCCCCAACCCAAGCTCAAAAATCGTTCGACAAACGACGACGACAAAGGAGGCAACGGAAAAGCAGAACCGCTACTTCTTCTGGCTGTGTCAACGCTTTGTCGCGCAATCATCCCGCTGTCGTTATGGCCGTTAAAGAGAGACTGTATATAGTTGCGAGTTGTGAAAATATTCGTTACATCAATGCTAGATAATTTTCAACATATTTTAGTTGTTATTTTTTGCCCATCAATATTGGCAAATCAAAGTTGGCACTCGTGGAGAATAGAAGAACTATGAGAGTGATGATGGTTTCAAAATTTTACACGGTGAGGTATACGAATGCAATCTTAAAATGCTTTTATTTTGCAAATGGAGCATTTTATTTAAATCTGGTTAATGTTACGCTAGTAGAAAACTTAAGGACTACTTAATAGACATATAATATAGAAAAAATAATTTCTTTTCAGATTTTTATGTGTAGACATAGATTTCAGCTTTTCTACAACTGTAGCAGCAACCAGATTTAAATAAAATGCTCCATTTCCAAAATAAAAGCATTTTAAGATTGCACTCGTATACCTCACAGTGGAAAATTTTGAAACCATCATCACTCTCATAGTTCTTCTATTCTCCACAAGTGCCAACTTTGATTTGCCAATTGGCAAATCAAAGTTGGCACTCGTGGAGAATAGAAGAACTATGAAAGTGATGATGGTTTCAAAATTTTCCACGGGGAAGTATACGAGTGCAATCTTAAAATGCTTTTATTTTGAAAATGGAGCATTTTATTTAAATCTGGTTACTGCTACAGTGGTAGAAAAGCGGAAGTCTATGTTTACACCTAAAAATCTGAAAAGAAATGATGTTTTCTGTATTAGGTATATGTCTATTGAGTAGACCTGAAGTTTTCTACTAACGTAGCACTAACCAGATTTAAATAAAATGCTCCATTCACAAAATAAAAGCATTTTAAGATTCCACTCGTATACTTCCCCGTGGAAAATTTTGAAACCATCATCACTTTCATAGTTCTTCTATTCTCCACGAGAGCCAACTTTGATTTGCCAATTAACTGCCTATTACAGTAATTTTTAAGTAAAATACGAATATTTCACATCATAATGAACACAATTTTAAAAATGAGATAAGTTTTCTTGCTTTTAAATATGTTACATTCAGATTACTGTTTGGTATCATTTGATTGCATTGCATGACAATTTACTTTCGAACTGTATGACGATCACCCTACCTTCTCAATATAAGTCATACGGTTTGTTCATTTCTAATTTTTCATCCGATTTTCAATATTCAGCTGAAGTAGTGAATGATAATTATCCCCAAACTGACACAATATCCGTATGGGGCTCCAGTGTAGTAATTTAATCATACACTCGTGAGGACAATTTGTGCACAGAGAGTGGTTGACAAATTTCCGTAATTGTTCTGAGACTAATAAATTTGAAAGATGGATCATACCTTGTTCTAAGTATATTTTGCAGAGTTGAATCGAATCTGTTGAAGGGTGAATTTGTATTACCTATTCATAACGAATTTCATAACTGAAACATTATTGCAGGTTTGTTTAAACCGAGGTTTAAACTCTGTCGATTATGCGGTCTTCGTAAAAACCCCAAACGCTAAATTATTGCATTGATTTAACGACGTAGTTCAAATTCAACACATGCACAAAACTTTATTCAACCTAGTGTAAAATTCATAATAAACGGATCATGACCGAGTGTTGGAATCCACAGCGCATGTGCAGACTCACTCAAACACAACATGGCTGCCGTTGAACGGAATAATGTGCTCTCCTCGTTGCTCTCCGTATATGGTAACGTGCTAACGGATCGCCTGCGTTGCCACGTTCAACGGAATCAACGGATGTCATGAAACGGGGAGATTGATTGAGAGGAAAACGATAAGAATCCATTGAAAGAAAAACGATAAAATTTTGAACACAAAAAACGCACATTCGCTTTCTGCAAGGCACTCGAAGATGGCGCTGCGGGGCAATAGAGTCGGGAACTAATGATAATTTATTCTCTTATTGATCATGAAAGGAAACATCATTCACATCGTTTGTTCACATTTAAATTTACATGGACAAATTTCTTATACATGTTACGGTTTCCTACAGACCTGAATTATTGATTTGCAATTTAACTGAAATACTCACTGACCCACACAAAAATATCGTCAATAAAATTAAAAAAAAAACATTGGTAGAATTAAAAGTTAGCATTGGCTCATTTTGGTAGAAAGTCTTCAGCATTCAAAACAAAAGTCAGCCAATTGTCAATTCAAAAGTACATCGTTCTCCACTTTTACAAGTTCTGGATTGATTTTTTTTTTACGTATGTTTTTTAAATTTATTCATGAAAGGGTTTAATTCAAAATATACGCATTTTTGTCGTAATTACGTATGTTTTCATCTTAAGTACACATTCTTTTCAATTCAATTGCTCTATGCTTTGAAAACAAGAGCCACAGTAATGTTTTTTTTTCTTTCCTTTGTTCGGGACATAACACCACTGCGACCAGTAATTTGATCTATTGTAGCATAGCCCGTGTCTTTAGTTTAGTGGATGTCGTATTGCTATTGAGAATGATGAAGTATTCGATTTTTTTACAGTTGTCATTCTTGCATTTATCGCAAGGATCTGACTCTAATTGAAAGGTCCCGCTATTTATACCCTTCGGAGCACAAACGAAGTGACAGACGACTAACTGGCGAAGAAATCAATTAAAATATTGTGGTTCGCTGTAATAGAATTTTCTTAGAAGCTTGTGCCATCATCCACCAGATGGGATAGTATTTTTGTTTTGGTTTTGCACAAAGTTGATTTTGTGTACAATGATTCTTTGACAGTGTGCAAAGAGTGCGTATCATTTTGTCATGTTTTTATGCATTTCAGTTTTGAGTAGAGTGAAAGAGATAGAACCAAAACATTCTAGTACATTTGGTGAAAATGCTAGTTCAATCCAGTAGTAGTGTTGCCATGTGGTTCAATCCAGTAGTAGTGGTCTTGCCATGTGGTACACTGAAAAATTGCAATAGCAGGTTAGTCACCAAAGTTTTCGAGCCGCTCCGTCTGTCACTTCGTTTGTGCTACTACTGAATTGTACCACATGGCAACACTACTACCATAGAGGTAATTCTAAGACCACTGGGTCCCGAAGAAAATCATTATTATTTTTGGCTCACTCAGTACCAGAACAACGGTCCCAAGCAGTCCCAAGCTATTTCACTCACCCCTGCATGTTCTGCATGAATCCACACACCCCTGATGTTATCTGTCAAACTTTCATAGCGAATCAAAACAAACATAGTGTAGTAATAGAATTTCAACTAGAATAGGGTACGTTAATCGTTTGCTTGGGACCAATAGGCTACTAAAGTGGTGAGCCAATTTAAAATCGTTAGTTTCGTATTGATTGTTGCTACTACTGGATTGAACTAGCATTTTCACCAAATGTACTAGAATGTTTTGGTTCTATCTCTTTCACTCTACTCAAAACTGGAATGCATAAAAAAATGACAAAATGATACGCACTCTTTGCACACTGTCAAAGAATCATTGTACACAAAATCAACTTTGTTCAAATCAAAACAAAAAAACTAACCCATCTGGTGGATGATGGCACAAGCTTCCAAGAAAATTCTATTACAGTGAACCACATCATTTAAATGGATTTCTTCGCCAGTTAGTCGTCTGTCACTTCGTTTGTGTTTGACAGTGTGCAAAGAGTGTATCATTTTGTCAATTTTTTTATGCATTTCAGTTTAGAGTAGAGTGAAAGAGATAGAACCAAAACATTCTAGTACATTTAGTGCTGCCATGTGGTACAATCCATTAGTAGTGTTGCCATGTGGTACAATCCAGTAGTAGTGGTGTTGCCATGTCGTACACTGAAAAATTGCAATAGCAGGTGCGTCACCAAAGTTTTCGACCCGCTCCGTCTGTCACTTTGTTTGTGCTTCGGAGTGTTGAAACACCCTCTAAAGGCGTTCCCTTTTGTCATTCAAAATTGGATTCCTTAGCAACAAAATTAAGGAATGACGCCGATAATGACCATGCATCAGAACCCTAGTCTTAACCACTTCAAACTAAAGAACAATGAATAGAAGATTAGGCATCACATAGGTGAAAACTAATACCCCGTTCACATTACAGCGTATATCACGTGATATACGCTGTCTTGCAATGAGCTCTCATACATCTAGTTTTCACTGGAAATCCCATGTATGAGTGCTCATTGCAAGACAGCCTATATTACGTGATATAGGCTGTAATGTGAACGGGGTATAACTAACTCATTTTTTCCTTGTTTCAAGATCATCCTCGGTCCAGGCAACCCGAGGACTTATCACTATCAACAAGGCATAAAATGTAACAAGGACTAAGATGTGTTCCTTTGATTACTGAAAAATCCTGTACCCCTAGTTTGAAATAGTCAAGACTAGGAATCGGTGGTAGATCTAACATCGCGTAACGTACCACGAAAAGGTGATCTACCCACGTTGCGGGGCAGTAATGGTTAAAGTGTTGGTTAAAGGCTTCACTATACATTTCCATAAATACTCATCCCACAAACAAACTTGAACCCGCCGAGGGGGGTGACACATCTAAATCTCAATTTTAGATGCTCAAAAAATCTCACACTAGCGAATCAATCTTCGAAAAATCTTCTTGCATTTCTCGCATCTGCTTGCATCGAGCAACATCTTTTTGCAGGAAATCTTCAGAATCGTCATCAATCTTCTTTCTATCTACTCAGCGTGCGAGCAGCTAGCCACAGCACAACACAATCTTTCCTGCAGCGTAGATAGAGTCGTCCCCCTCGAACCCGACCGAGAGTTGAATATCCATACATTTTCCTATGAAGTACCCTGAATTGTCTTTTATAGTCATAATTACTTGCGCCTTTTCCATTTCATCCTATCGGAATATTCGTCATTTTTTACTACAACCCTATGACAAACTTTAACCG